TATTTTAATTATCCACTTTTTGTCCAATAATTGGCTTTGTATTATTTCTTTATAAGCCATTATTTTTTTAAAAGCATTTCTGCTTAAAATTGGGAGGGGGGAATGTTAACAAAAGTGAAATTTTGAAGAATTCTGTCATATTACCTTTTCCTGACCTTGACATAGAAAGTGAAGGAGAGCTGGAGCTATTGAACTTAATAACGTGTTTAAATCCATTCAGCATTTTACACAGTGAAGTATTCTCATGTTCTTCGTTGGAAGGTGTTCAGTATCATGGATTGTAACCTGTTTGGTTCCCTTGAGTTTAACTGAAGGTCATTTCTAGTTTTAGAGACTAAATAAAATCTGGGCAAACTAACCTCTGGTGTAGTGAACTGCTGTGAACATTTTAAATTCTGGAAGAAAAGATTCCACACTAATCTCCTTATCAGCATCTTCTCTTTGCCACAAGGGTAACTTTCAACTGCTACTTTCTACACCACTGTCTAATAAAAATATTAGACTGAAAATGAATTTATCTCATGACCACTTGGATTCAACATGTAAATTTATGCATAGTTATATGTAAATTACAGTGCTCCCTGTATCTGAAAATCTAAATATAAAATATGATGGTTTAGCCTAGCAAAAAGAAGCAAAAGGCTGATCTATGGATTTTCTTGGTATACTTATAACCCAATTTCTACCCCAGGGTATGTCCTTAGAGAGTTATTATTTCTTGGAAATTTTTCTTTGCAATCATTATAGATATATTAATGGATGGTAGCCAAGTTGTACATTTGGAATTGCTTTTATATGTATGCTTCCCTCTATCCAGAATACTTTTTTTTCTAAGGATCTTATTAATACATTGGAACTGTTTAAACTTTGCTTTCTTAGTGAGCCTTCCTTGACCAACACTATCTAAATAGATCCTTCCCTATTATTCTCTATCCCCGTGTCATGTTTATGGTCTTGAGAGCACTCCATACTTTCAACTAATCTAAAATCCTAACTATAAATTACATCCTCTGGTCGCTGCCTACCAATTTCACACATCTCATTTTGCAGCACTCTCCTCTGCGCTCATGTCTTCATGATGATTTCCTGGATGTTCCCAAGATGCACATGTGAGGTTCTTCTGAGCACATTCTCCTGATATCTGCGAAGTTTGCTTCCTCACTTTTTCAGGCCTCTTTTCCAATGTCACCAACTCAGAGGGCCTTCGCTGACTACCATATTTCAAACAGCAATGTCCGTCATTCTCCTTGACCCAGTCTTCTTTTCCTCACTAGCACTTACAGTTGTATATATATGTGTTCAGTGTGTGACTACTCAGTAGCATGTAAACGCCACTAGGCTTCACCTTTTTTGTTCATTATTACTGCCACATTCCTTAAAACAGTATTTGCCATAAGGCTGTCACTCAGTGCTTATTTGTTGAATGAATTAATTAACTCCTGACTTATCTGTTACCCCCACTAGACTCTTAAGGACCATAAGAGCAGAAACATTGTTTCTGGAATCCTATAGCATCTTGTATATAATAGGTGATAAATGAATATTGATTGAATGAATGAATGAATGAATGAATGGTGTGTGTGTGTGTGTGTTTAATCTCTCTCTGTCCTGGTAGATTCTAATTAGCTCACCAATATATACTAATCCCCCTGTAGGGTCTCACATGCAGTAGGCATGCGATAAGTAAATAAAGAATCCCCAGGACTGGGACCAGAATGAACAGGAACCTACTCTGGCCATAGCCACCCAGAGGCCTCCACAATCTTAATCTGGGGCCTTAATGGCAGATGGAAAAGACTTCAAGACACACACAGAGTCATGCAAACCTTAAGCTACCCTGTTCATCTTTTCAGGACCCTGCCTGGTCCTGACAGAGGCTTGCTTCCCAAGCAAGACCCAAGGCTTCTGAGCTTCTTCCTTTCAGATAATGTCTTTTGAATGCTAGGCATAGTAAATCTTAATTTCAACCCCTAGCTTTGATTTGTTTGCTTAAAACCTTTGTCCTGAACATTCCAGGTAAATCAATGTATGGTGCCAAAGGGCATCAAACAAGCAAAATTAGATTGTAGCATACAATTTCCCACTACCTAGAATAGCAACCTTGAAATCATCTCTTAGCCTAGTTTCTTTCATGTTTTTCATTTGAAAAATGAAGATGCTAAAAAAGATCCAGCAGTCTCAAATTATGGATTATGTATTCAGGCTTGCAGAGATGTCCTTGAGAGGTTTTGTCAAGCATCTCCTTTCCTTCCTCTCCTTTGCCCACTTGCTACAATCCTCCTTGGTTAATATCCACAGCCTTGGCGAGCTATGGTTACTGATGGGAATTGTCAAGTGTATAGGGAGAAAGGTTAAGAACCACTGGCCTATGTTGTCCCTGCCATCCTTCCCAGGGCCAAAATGCTGTGAATCTGTGAACTGCACCTCAGTTCACTACGAAATCCCTACGTGTTGTTAACAGTGCTTAAGTTCCTGCAGTCCTTAGTTCACTTACACTAACTTACATTACTTTGTGATTTTCCACTGGGATCGGGGACTATGTGAGGCCCTGAGAACACAAAGATGAGTTTAGAAATGGTGTCTACCCTCCAGGAGCGCTATTCAATTAGGAGACCAATGCAATAGAGTGTGAGACATGTTTTGATGGCGCCACAGCAGCAGGTGACTTCAGAGCACATCAAAGGGCATTGAAACAACCTGGGAGCATAATGGGGTGATCTGGAAAATCTTCCAGTAGGAGACCAGAAACTCTTTCCTAATTTTAATTAATTAAATAAAAGCTGCACAGCATCAGAATCATGTAAGTCAAACTCCTTATGTAGCACAGAGGAAAACTGATGTTCAAGGAGACAAACTAACCTCCTCATCCAAACTGAGTATCAGAGTTACATACAACTAGGACCCAGATAAGCATCATAGGGCTATAGGGCTGCCTTTTTTAAGAGACTTTCTTTTTTTTCTTATTTTTTTTTTGGTAGGAATTGCTGCCAATAACCCATCATTCGTAAATTGCAGACTTTGCAGTGAGCTGCTGGTGAATGTATTCAGATACATCCACAGTCTCAGCTAGTTTGCCTCTTGAGCTACTTACTGCATGAAACGAATCACACTGGGAAGCACAGGTACAGTCTGGCTGTGAACAAGAACAAACTTTAAGAATAGATCTTGGTCAGATTGCACTTCCTCTCCACAACTGAGAGAGGCATCTAAGGGCTGAGGTAAAACCAAAAAGTGAAGTATTTTCAGTAGTAAGTAGTAGTACATAAAATTGCTCAGGTATGCAATTTTCTTGGAGTTTTGTTTTTTACTAATATAGTTTTAATTTGAGATATTTGAAGACTGATTTAGTAATAGGACAATATAAGCGCTCATTACATTAAAACAGAAATACTTAGGAAATCCATAATTTCTAATAGCTTGCCATCTGTTTGGCTTTTAGCGGCAATGGATTTATCCTACTTAGTGCAGATGATGATATCAGGGTGAAATCCTGGATTATACAATGGATTTCTGAGCTCTTTAACTACTGTTATTAATTTACTAGTGTGCAAATCAACGTTTCCCAACATAAAATCAATTATTTTTTTTCAACTCTTACCCCAAGTAAGGTTGCTATGGGCACCACATAACATCTGTTCTGGCGCCAACAGATTGCGTTCAAGTCACCCACAATCTCTCCAGATTAAAAACCTCATCAAGTTCACCGGCTTTTTCACTGTACTCGCAGCACGATGCTCTTTCGCCTCGCCTCACTGTCCAATTTAATCCACTAGAAAGAATATGTTTAGAGGCACATCAAACTAAATCGTTTTCGTCTGAACAGACCATTTCTAAATGGCCGCCCAGGGTCTTAAATTCGGCCACTGCGGAGGGGGACAAGCAGGTGTCCTCCGCTGCAGGGTCTTGGGACTAGAGCGCCTTCACAACCGGACGTCGGAAGCAGAAAGGAAACCCGAACACGCAGGGACAGGTATAACCTTTCACGGGTGCAGCAGAGAGGCCCCGATCGCGGCAGAGGACTTCATCCTCAGGCTTGGGGGGTGGGGGGTGGGCAGGGGTCCTGGGGAAGAAGCACACACTGCTTTCCGCCTTCAAGTCAGCAGGACGCACAGGGTCGCGGGTCAGAAGTTGAATTGCAACCCAACCTGGGCTGCATCCCATCCTCTTCCGCAGCCCGGGCACCGCGGTGGCACCGGGGAGAAGAGAACCAGGATGGCTGGGGCGGGGGGGACTGAGTTGCCGCTGCCGGAAAGCTGCCGGCGGCGGCGGGGGCAGACACGACTCCCGCAGCCTTCGGAGCGCATAGCCGGGAAGAACCCGGCTTGGCTGCTGCGACGCTGCGCGCTCGGCCGGGGCACGGCTGCGTGCGCCCCGCGTTGCCCTTTTGGCGGAGGGCAGCTCCCCACCGCCGCAGCCCAGCCGCCGGGCACCCCAGCACCAGCCGCCCCGGGGTGCGCCTCGTCCGCCCCGGGGTGGCAGCCTGGGCACCCGTAGCCGGACCAACCATCGCCCCTCGGCGCACCGACAAACTTCCTTCTTCCTGAGCCCCGGGGCCGCGCTGGCTGGCTGGCAGCTTCCCCGCCAGGCTTTCCAGGTCTCGGGTTTGTCGGCGCCCCCGCCCGGCCCGGCGAGCTTTCTCCCTGCCCCTCTGCAACCCCAAGCCCCGAGAGCCTAGCGGTCCCCGCGCATCCGCTCCAACAAAGCCAGCGGCCCGGAGGCGACCCGGCGAGGGGGCTGGGAGTGGCTGTGGGGGCGCCAGAGCCCGGCAAGGCACCCCTCGGCCGGGGGAGCGCAGCGTGAAGGGGCAACGGGGACGTGGCGGGCAGAGAAAGGGGAAGAAAGTATCCTGCTCTCGGCGCGAACGCCTAGCCTTCTCCGCTCGTCCTCGCTCGCTCTGCTCCCCCTTCCCGAGCGCGTCCGCCTGTCCCGGTGGCAGTTGGCAGGGACCGAGGGGGTGGCAGAGGGGACTCGGTGGCCTGACAGGCGAGCCGCTTCCTTACCTCTGTCCAGAGTGAGCGGCTGGACCACTGTCAATGTCGCCATGTCTGCCGTGAGAGCCGAAGTGACGCTCGGCTTCAGCATCAGCAACCGCTTGTAGTGAGAAAAAGAGGAGGAGATTGGGGGCGGGGGTGGAGAGGGAAGACGGAAAGAAGGGGGAGGAGGGGGAAGGAGGGAAGGTGGTGGTGGTGGAGGAGAAGAAAGCTTGGGTGGGTTGGCAGCCAGATGGAGACGCAACTGTTCCGCGGCGGGCCAGACCTTCAGATGCCGCGCGAGGCTGAGCAGGTATCCGAGAGCGACTGCAGCGCGGCTCCGGAAAGGAAGGCGCTCTGCCCTGGAACTTTGCTATTCCACCCCAAGGAGCGCTGGATGGGTGTAGCTGGTGTGTTGCTTTCTTTCAACTTTCCACTCAAATAAAATGGTCAGAGTATACGTGTGTCTGGGGGAAGGGAGAAGATTGAAAGAGGGTATGGGGGAGGGAGGTAGAGAGATGAATGGTATTCAGATTAAGAGAAATTGTCAACCCTGTAATCCCAATGCCTGGAGAGAAAATGCTTCTAGCTCAGAAATGTTGGGATTTAATTAGAGCTGCTGTTAATTTCTGTTGAAGTTTTTTTCTTTTTGGAATGTTGACTTATAACGGTACACAAGATGACTTACTTAAGGCCAAGTTCCTTAATGGACTAGGTGTCCATTAAGGACCTGAGTATATTGCCTAGAAAATAACTTACCTTAAAAGCAAACTTCTTAAACATGGTTTTCAAACACACACACACACACACACACACACACACACACACACAGAAGCTCAATCACTAAGTTTGCAAACATGTACCTAGCACTTTTTCAGGTTAACCTATAGCCAGGGGTTACTCAGAGTTGCCACTTATTAATTAACATGTGTGTCAGGAATTGAGCTGGTAGTGTCACATGCCATGTGCCATGGCCTGACTTGGGGATTTGACACAGTTCCTGCTTCCCTGTAGCTTATGACCCAGTGGTACATGATTATTAAAAGAGTGACTTTAGAGTCAGTTGATCAGGATTCAGTTACTAGAACCTTCCAATACTGGCTGTGACCTCTTCATCCCAACTGACTGCTTTCACTATCCTGCATTGTGGGGGAGTCTCATTTTCTGATAAAGAAACTAAGAAGTGGTGGAGCATTTGAGAACTTGCTCCCCAGCCTGTGTTATCAGTTTGGCTCACATAAACTCTTTATAAAGTTTTTTTTAATTAAGAAGTAAATAGAAATCTTATATAAACAGAATCATAATGACGTGAGTTTAGGATTATAAATGACACAGCTAGCTCCATCCCCTTCCCTCTGATAGAACTGTTTTGGCTAAGAATATATTGTTTTATAGCAAAATATTGACATATAATCTATGCCATTGTCTTCTGATGACAATATGGACAATATCTGAAGATCTTTTCCATCCATGTTCTACATTTTTCAAAAAGAAAGCAAGATTTCACCAATGATTTGAGAAAGTCAAAGTTGGTTGGCCAAAAACACCTCACAGACCCTAAAAGACACCCCTAAAATAGTAGTTTAATATGCTTATATTTTCATTTAGCGTTTTAGAAAGAACCCTGATCTTGAAATTCAAGTCTTAGTTATATGCTCTTCAGAAATCACATAATTTCTCATTGATCCCCAGTTTCCTCATCTGTCAAATAAGGGAATAACCTTCCCTATCACTGAGATTCAGTAAAACGAGCGAACTAATTCTACCCTGTAATCTCACTGAGTTTTCTGAGGGTCAGGTGAGATTATGCATGTGAATGTGCTTTGGAAATGGTAAACTATATACAAATTTATTCATACAACAAGCATGCATCCCACCTGGATGGTGTGGCAAGCACCCTGTTAGGTGCTGACCTTGCAAAGATTAATGAGATGCAGCCCTCTCCTCGGACAGTGCCCAGTCCAGGCTGGGAGACCAATAATGAACAAGCTAAGAAATTCCATGCAGTAAATGCTCTAAGCACCACAGAAAAGAAGTGTTATGGGAGAGAGGAAAAAGCAACAATTCTGCTTGATTATCATTATTCATATTCCCTAAGTCAAACAGCAGAAAGTTGAATTGTGCACAATAAAAGCAGATTATGTTCCAAGGTTTTACACAAAATATCAAACTCCTTCAGTAATTGAGGATGAAAACATACAAATCCCTTGGCCACTAATGTAGTTCTTTTAAGAACATACTTTATTATGGATATGTATTTGAGTAGCATGATTCATAAGTCTAAAATCCATAATTATACCTATTTCAACCCAAATCCCAGATTGTGAGATCCACGAAGGTAGGCTTTTTGTCTTTTTGTTTCCAAATGCATCCCATCCCCATCACATTTAATAGTATGTTTCTGGGCTTATGCCTTGAGCTCCCTAATTGAAAGTTTATTCTATCATTCTTCTCTGTTGACTCTGTAGAGTTTCTGTAAGGATTGAAAGAGAAAATAAGAGGAAGTGCATATCACCATATATATTCATCAGTTATTATTTCTAGTAGAGGTTAAGTTAAATGCCTTTAGCTTATGCCTACACAGGTGTAGAAAATGAATAATAAACAATCCATCATCTATTAGAATTTATTTTTTATGTGAATAACTATTGTCTCTCTAATAATATTTGTGGATTTCTATTTGAGACATGAGAAAATTTGCTTCATCTCTTCTTTTACTTTGGTAGATGTGACTGACCATCCTTAGGTCTCTTGACTAATTGCCTGGACTGCTCCTGTACCAAACACAGGGTTTCATCAAGGTCAATATGCTTGATGTAATGTACTCAGATGCATGTTGCTATGTTGATTGTATATTAATCAGGGAATTGTTCAAACACCTGTGATTATACTTTAACTATTTGACTACACAATCATTACAATTTTTCATTAAATTATATATAGTAATTTAGTTCATTGGCACCTATTTTTTAATGGAATTCATTAATTCAATAAATACCAAGCAAAAAAATTAAAATATAAATAAATAAATAAATACCAAGCACTTTATACATATATGCCAGGCTTGGTGTAAGTTGTTTCTCTTTTCTTTTTCAGCCCAGAAAAAGTAGGTATTGTTATCCCATTTTATAGAAGTAAATTGAGACTCAGAGAAGTTAAGTAATTTGCTTAAGAATAGTAACGCTTTTTGTATTCAAAAGCCCCTGTGCTGGTCACTAGAAAACACACTTCATTTTGTACTATTGAAGATTTAGTGACTTCAGCCTTTTATTTCAGAATTCCAGGTATATATCTATATCTATAATCTATAACATGTGTATCTATATCTATGTCTACGTCTATGTCTATATCTCTCTATCTTTCTATCTATTGATATCCTTTTTTTATTATTATGTTTGAGATATACTCAAAGAGAAGAATGCATAGAGGAAATTTAAGTCAAAGCAGAAAAGAACTGTGATACTGGTTCCATTCTGTATAAATATAGGTTACTATTAAAATGACTACCTACCTTGAAATATAAAATCTGTTCTTGTTAAAATATTCATTCAAAGCTACATTAAGGTCTGTTTCACTTAATTGAATCTTTTAAATTATGTGACAAAATTAAGTGAAGGTTTGCATAAAGTGTTAGCATACCAAGAAAATGTGTTTAGTTAGATGGAATATAATAAGCACAGTTACATATGAGGAAAATAGCACCTTCAAACTGGAATTCTTTCAGCCTTTGGTGTTAGAAATTGTTTTTCACTGATTCAAAATATCATGTTATCTTCCTTAATTCTCACAGCTTTGTCAAAATAGCACTAGATTAAGATGAAGAGCCAACCAATACTTTGGAATATAAATGTTTGTGGGTTTTTTAGAAAATCATCATCCATAGAAAATCTTATTATGTTTATTTTATCCTTAGATTTGTTCTGACAACTACATATTTGTCTGCTCATCCAACAAATACATAATGTACTTACTATATGCCAAGCACTTTTTTAGGCACCGGGATTGCAGTGAACAAGAAAAGACCCTGGTTCTGCGGAGGAGGGACAATAAAAAAAGTAATAAACAAGAAAGAGATCAATTAGTGACTAACTACTGTGGGAAGAATGAAAAATTTGACAATTGAATTGGGTCTAGAATAATGTCAGGATTGCAAAACAGTAAAGCCAGGGATGGGAGAGTAGGCGTGGTGTATGTCTGCATAAAATAGGCAGTATAAGAAAAACAAGCCTAAAGACAGCCATTGAGAGTGAGGTTGTGAAAAATAATATGATTCACAGAAATATAATGAATGTTTTCATGACTTACTTTGTGCCCATCATACAATGAAATGTCCAGATACAATTTGGACTAAGAAAAAAAAACTGTTGTAGCATCTACATTAAAAATTACTGTCATCAGAATGAAATGAAGAGTTATTAATTCAGAGTTGGATGTTAGAAGATTAAAGATGAAATAAAAATATTAAAAGTCAATTCTAATTATTTTTTATTTCTTTCAAAGAAAATAGCAAAGAACTTGGAGGGAAGATAATCTGAAATCTGAATAATTATTCCTCAGTTGTAGGGTCTCATTTTCATGATTTTATACTACAAGTTATCATGCAAATCATATGCATAATAATTAACTTTTACTCTGATTCTGCCATAGGCAATAGCACATATAATAAGTACAAAGTCTCTCTGGTACTAGGGTGTTTTATTTATGCATATTTCACTCATAGAATATAAAGTTATGTTTTTGTTTCATTTTGAAATGAATTTTTTTTCTATTTTCACGGTTGGAAGTTAAATAGATCTAAAAGCTTACCATTTTCTTTTTCTTTGTGAATCCCATCCTCACATTGACAAACATCATTGGGAAAGCCTAAGAGATATAAGAGAAGCAAGATAAAATGATTTTTAAAAGTAATACTGGGGCCGGTTGAGTGGCACATTGGTTAAGAGCTGGCTTGGGATGCCAGAGGGCCCCGGTCCGGATCCACCTATGAGGGCCAGTGACACTGCCCTCTACAGCTAAGATGCTGAACAACAGCTCAACCTGGAGCTGGGCTGCCTTGAGTCCCCGCGATGGCGTAGGCTGCAGCCCCTGCTGCAGTGGGTTGCCGTGGGCTACCGTGTGTAGCCAGCAGCCAGGTGAGCGGCCAGCAGCCGCAGTGAGCGGCCATCCAGAAACCGACGACTGATCTGCCTCGCCCAGGAAGAGCGCAATGATGGTGCCAACTTGGGCCAGTGAAGCAACGTCCTCCACAACTAGACTGAAGAACAAAANTGATGGTGCCAACTTGGGCCAGTGAAGCAACGTCCTCCACAACTAGACTGAAGAACAAAAGGACAGCAACTTGTCTGTTCCCCTTCCCCAATTCCTCAGCACTGTTCCCATCCCCCAATTCCCCAATAAAAATCTTCAAAAAAAAAAAAAGTAATACTGGATTCATCTTTTTCTCACATCTACTCAGGAGATATTACCAAACTTTTAGGACCCACAACCTTGAACGGTTTAAAAAAATATTTCTATTTTGATTTCTCCTTAAAAAATTTAATCTATTCAATCTTGAGTAAAAAATTATGCTTTTATACAACAAATGTTTATCATGTACGTGCTATATGCCAGGCACTGTTCTGGAGAGATTCAGTGATAAACATGGAAAAAGTGCCTTTCCTTATGGAGCTTAATTTTTATGATGGGAGACAGATAAAATACAAATAAACAATAAAACAGATGATCTTAGATAGTGGAAAGACCACCCACAGTGACATGCTGAAGCAGCATCGCTTTCAGTGACATCACCCTGGTATCTTTAGATTGGCCATGGTGGGAGTATTTACACCATGGGTATTGGCAAATACTATATACTGAAGATTTCTTTTTTTCCTCTAGTAAGCCAGTTGTTAAACATTTACCAGCACATCACAAAGTCCGCAAAGAAAATAAAATAGAAAGTTGTGATGAAATATGCAACAGGAGAAGAGGCTACTTTAAAATGGTCAGAAAACAAGTCACATCGTACTTGATAGAAATTTTTGTAAAATAACAAATCTACATTGTACCTGATGGAATGCTGACTAAGATGGTGGACCTGGGATGGAGTTAGAAGAAATAGGAAACATTCATATTATTTTTGAGGAGCTTACAAAACATTTGGAAAGGAAATAGAAGCATCAATGAAAAGGCATAGAATTCATTACAAAATGATGTAGTAACAAGAATAAGTGATGTTATAAATGTATATGTGTTAAAGGTATACAGAAAGAAAAGGAAAGTCTGGATTCTGTGAAAGTTCCCTGAAGGGAGTTTACATTCACTTTCAGAAGAAACTTGGAGATATTTCTTTCCTGCATGTAGGTAATACAATGTTAAATCTTTGAGCAGAGAGCTACTCTTTGCAATTTTGAATCGAAGGATTGCTAACCAAGTGAACCAGGATCTTCAAAAGCAATTCTTAAGAAACTCAAGAAAAAAGAGGGACTTAATCATTATAATTGGGTATCTATGTTGCTAGAGAATCTCACCGTGGTGAAGTGAGAACTCTGTTAACTTGATTATTGAAAAAACACTAATGATGGTCAAGGGTCATTTGTTTGGGGCTTTAGGTTTATTTAAAATATCATTTAAATGGGTTTTTTCTTGAAAATCACCTCACTTTTTTTTTTTAAAATCTAGGTGAGCTTATTTATTTCTCTCTGTTCTGGTATTATAGAATTAATTAAGGATGTTCGGGAGAAACAGACAAACAAGCCATCTTTGAATTCTTCCCAGATTGTGACACAGTACAGGAATTGAGAATAGTAACAGAAATTTACTCTAGGTGTGTTGAGGGACATACACATCAATAATTTGCAAGTTTAAGAGCAAAATGCAACATTAGCATGGACAGCATATTCAGAAAACAGTTCCAAATTTCTGTTTTCATCCTCCAAAGCTCTAATTTAAAGCAAAATTTACAATTTTAATTGATTTGCATTTAAATATGATCTTCTGGGCCCAGCCTGAAGCATGAATTACCTTTTTCTTAAAACTTATCATTGGGGTTAAGAGCTTGCTCAAGAGTTTGAGCTCTGAGCAACAACAGTTCGATGCCCAGCCCGAGCTGAGCTGCCGCTGAGCTGCCAACAGGTGGCAGGATGGCTCAGCTAAATAAAAAACAAAACCAAAAAACCCACAAAAAACTTATCATTGGGATCAAATTATGCTCTGTCATAAGTAAGTTCCTCACTCTTAGCGTCTCTGCTTTCCCTGCCTTTCTGGTTCTAGATGAACTCTTAACCCCTTGCCCATGTAAATGGACCTTTCTGATGCTTATAATCGTATTAAACCATTTCCCAAGTCTGCAGTTATGCAAGGTACATCTGCTTCCTGAAATAAAGTGCCTCTGACATGTTTCTTCTTTCAAAGATTTCTTAATTTCACTTCTTGCTCAAAGCATTTACTCACATAATAAATCCAATTATGGGTTTATTTTGGACTCTTGAGGATTTAACTAGAATGAGAAAAATTGAGACAAATGAGATGGTTTTCACTCTGAATATCTTCAGGTTTTTGTCACCTGGAATTTTGCAGATCAGTAGTGGCAAATCAAGCCGATCAAATATTTTTGTGTGGACCTCAAATAGAAGCAATTTCAAATAAATGGAGAGAGGAAGCAAATCTCTGCCATTTTTATCTAGGACAAGCAAGTAAGTTATTCTATTAAAGCTTTTATATAATTTATATATTCCCTTTTCAAGAAGGACTTTTGTTTTGAAATTTTAAGTATAAAACTATGCACATGGAAAACAATTCTCAAAGGGTATTATGAAAGCCCACTCACTCACCACAAGTAACAAATGTTAAGAGGGATCTTTTCTGATGTATTCTTACAGAAATTATATGTATATACGAGTATATATGTATATATGTACACATCGACACATGCACATATACATG